TTTCTGGTGGTCTAACTCCTCATTGGCTCAGCATTCATTAGATGAATGCTAGTGCTAGCTCAGCCAGGAGCAGAACCTTTCAGCTACAAGTAACTTTAGGTGTTTAGTTATATTAAACTGTATCCTTATTTCATCCACCAGCCCCATCAAACCAGATATGCAGGAGCAAGGAGAGGCCTTTACCAGCTCTGTCTTGACACACGTGGATTATCACTGCATCTATCTAATGGGCGCAGCACATAGGACTGGATAGCATGGCCCCAATCACTGGAGTAAAGAAGCAACCATTCCTGTGGTCACCAGGCTTTTGTCACCCGCAGTGTTCCAAAGAGCAGCAGAGAATGGTCTCTCCATCCTCCTCTTGCTTGTTTTCTGCACCCTACATTCTCTGCCTTTAGTACTGAACAGTCCCACACCTCTTCTTGGTCAAGCTTTGAAAATGACAAATACCAGCTATTTGGAGGATGCCTCTGCCTGCCCCCAAACTGAGTCTTCTTTCCTGTTCAGTCATCTGGTTGCCAGCACATGTAGGGGGCACCATCAGCAGCACTGAATGAAAGAACACCAGCAGTGAAATGGGAACTTCACTGTTCTGCCACTGGGACTTCTTGGTGCTGTTTGAAAATGCTCGCCCAGGAGCAGCTCCAGAATGAAGACTCATTATGACTGAGGTAAGACTCATGTGGTCATGGAGCTGCCCACCAAGCAGAGCTGAATGATAGGAACTTGGGGACAACAAGGATTCTGTACATAAAGAGGAGTAAATTGCCATTGCTTTGACTGAGGAAATCCCTGTAAAACTGAATTTAAAATTCAGATCCAGCAACTGTTCTGTCTCCACAGTCCCTTCAGAGGCAGTCTGGTGTGCTGTTCTGTGCTTGAGATAGCTGTGTTCTGCTATATTGCCATGAAAAGGGATTAGTGCTACATGGTGAATGAAATAACAAAGAACGGGAGAGGAATCTTAGGTTAAGACAATAATTTTCTGCTACTGAAATGTGTCAAAATCCTCCTATGTGATATTAGTTAAGACTGAACCAAACCTAGGCTGCTATCAAAAACTGTCATACTCAGTGTATTTCTCGGACACGCGGCTCCTAGTTGGAAAGTGTCCACTGCTGTAGACAGACTTCTGCACACTGAGACTCCTCTGCCACTGATGGCAAGTCTTTTCTCTGTATAATAAAAAAAGGGAAAGGCTGTGGATGTGGTCTACCTTGACTTCAGCAAGGCTTCTGACACTGTTTCCCACAGCATTCTCATCAAGAAACTGTCTGCTCGTGGCTTGGACTGGCGCATGCTCCGTTGGGTTAAACAGGCTGGGAGATGAGTGTTTGGAAAGCTGCCTGGCAGAGAAGGACCTGGGAGTATTGGTGGATAGTCAGCTGAATATGAGCCAGCAGTGTGCTCAGGTGGCCAAGAAGGCCAACGGCATCCTGGCTTGTATAAGATGAAGTGTGGCCAGCAGGGCTAGGGAAGTGATCGTCCCCCTGTACTCGGCTCTGGTGAGGCTGCACCTCGAGTACTGTGCTCAGTTTTGAGCCCCTCGCTACAAGAAGGACATCGAGGTACTTGAGCGGGTCCAGAGAAGGGCGACGAAGCTGGTGAGGGGTCTGGAGAAGAAGTCCTATGAGGAGCAGCTGAGGGAGGTGGGCTTGTTGAGCCTGGAGAAAAGGAGGCTCAGGGGCAACCTTATTGCTCTTTTTAAGTATATTAAAGGAGGCTGTAGTGAGGTGGGGGTTGGTCTATTCTCCCACGTGCCTGGTGACAGGATGAGGGGGAACAGGCTAAAGTTACGCCAGGGGTGTTTTAGGTTGGATATTAGGAAGAGCTTCTTTACTGAGAGGGTTGTGAGGCACTGGAATGGGCTGCCCAGGGAAGTGGTAGAGTCACCATCCCTGGAGGTCTTTAAAAGACATTTAGATGTTGAACTTAGCGATATGGTTTAGTGGAGGACTTCTTAGTGTTAGGTCAGAGGTTGGACTCGATGATCTTGAGGTCTCTTCCAACCTAGACAATTCTGTGATTCTGTAATTGCATAGCGTAGGAATCCTGGAGCTTCATCACTTTCAGTGACTCTAGCTCACTAATGGCAAAGAGGAGGCTTCAGAAATGGATGCGCATTCTCTTCTTCCACCTTCTCACACACACACACAAAAGCTGCTGTTATGAACGGCATTCAACATTGCTTTGAGTCTAATACACAGAGGACAAGCTAAGCAAATGGAAGCAGAGCTAGCTCTGACCTTCCTCCCTAGAACTGACAACAGGCAGAAGAAACAAATGAAATGGTGCACATCCCTGGGATCTGCAGTCCCCTGCATTGTTCAACATCTGGCACTGCATCAGAACAACTTGTGCACTAAACACAGTCAGATACAGTTTAGTTAGACGTATTTCAACCTATAGCTGCAGCGAGTCAGAACACCTCAGAAAAACTGCCTGCATGTGCAGAGATCTGGGATGCCCGCGGGAAGGAAGCCCAGGCAGGTGTCTCCATTGGCCCTGGGAGAGCTGACATTTAAGAACACAGGAAAGAATTCCAAGGACTACTGTGGAGTTTCAGAGCCATTAAAGCAGCTGCTACTGCCCTCTTGAGAAGCTGACATCCCAATAAATATGCCGGGAAAGAGGGGAGCAGAGTGTTATAGCTCCCCAAGCCCTTTAAGCCAGCACTGCTGCCGAGAAGCGCAGCCTCCCTCTTCCCCAGCTGCTCTTGCTCACATCTGCACCAGCCTTGGACTAGCACTAACATTTGCGAGGTGCTGTGGATGTGATGCAGACGGGGACTACCCCGGCGCAACAAGGCGGCTGCTTCTGTCCCACAGGGACGGTGCCAGCAGGAGCGGCGGGGGAGGCGCGCTGGGGTTGGGGGGGGGGGGTGCTCCGCCATGTTCTGTTCTGCGGGAAGACACCCAGCACATCCCCCCCCCACCGCCTTCCTCCCTCTCCTCCCTTTCCTCCTCCTCCTCCTCCTCTCCGGCCGGAGGGCGGAAGGGACGGGGCTTTTCTGCCGGAAGCGGCGCGAGGGGCCATGGCGGCGCTGGTGCGGGCCGTGGTGAGTGGCAACAGCGGCGGGCGGCACCGCCACCCCCCCCCCCCCCTCACCCGCCGCCCTCCGCCCCGCCCCTCCCCGCGGCATGGCGGCGCCCTGAGGGGGCTGAGCGGCCCCTGCGGCCCCTCTGCTGTGCTCCGACCTTACCGGAGCGGGGCTGCTCGCCTCGCAGCGCTCATCCGGGGCGAGGAGGGGGCTGGCTGGGGATGGGGAGGCTTCCTCTGGGTTTGTGCTTCCATAGGAGCCGTGTGGGGTTTTGGCATTCTGGGCTTGGGCTTTATATTTGAGGATTTGTTATTATTTTTTTCCTCTGAGGGTTCCCCTTTCTGGAGATCCCTGTCTCACTTTAGAGGTGCTATAAAGGCTTCCAATTTCTGTGTCAGGTGGAGGAGATTGGGTTCCTGTTAATGAGAGCGGGTTACTAATCAGCTCCTTCGTTTCTCATCCATGTGTATGTTTTTGGTCTGTTGGCTTTTGAAATCTCAGCAGCAGGTTACCAGATTTCAGCTTTGCGTCTAGAGGTTGGTGCCAGGATCTGATTCCCTGCCCCAGTGCAGATACGGGCATGGCCAACACTGCTAGCTGGAGACCAATGCTTGAGGAAAATGGAAAGCCCTTAATCAGAGAGCTTGCACAATTAATCCACCTAGGTTTTATAACCAATGTCTCAGGGTGTGGTCTTGCAGGCATGGTGAGCCCTGCCCTTTCATCTGTCCAGCTGAAAGCAGCTGAGAGCAAATCTGCCTGAGAGCAACTGAAGCGCAGTGAGCGTGAGTTCCTGCCTTCCTTCTGCCATTGCTGCGCTCTGTCCTTACATCTCTGTGCTGTTGCCTCCCTCTGTGTGCCCCAGAGTTTTTCTTGACCCCCATGCTCTGAATGCCAAAGCAGCAGAACATAAAGTTAGTTCCCTGCTGTGATGAGTTGAAGAGGCAGTCGGGAGCAAAAGTGGAGGGGGAAGCCAGGGGGAAGGGGAGCTGAGCACTAGAGGAGCAGTGAGCCACTGGGGGTTCAGCTGTCTGAGGAGCTGTGCCCCAGGGTGCTACTGGCAATGCCAGGCTGCGTGCACAGAGGAGGCAGGACTCATCTCCCCGGCCTCCCTAATCCTGGCTCTTCTCCCAGCTACTTCTGGCATTCATATGGCGAAGTTGGTTCAGTTCTTCAGCCTGGCCAGAAGAATTTCTCTTGGGATGAGAGATTTAGTTGGCTGCAATTTTTGTGATCTGAAGAGCCTCATGTTGTGATTTTGGGAGAAGTACTGGAGCATTAGTAAGGATGGGAGGATGCAGCTGGGAGGCTGGGGAGTTCTAACAGCAAGCACCATGCTTCAGCTCAAGCTTTGTACTATCATAGCATTGCTGATCCATGGGGTTTCCTAGTATCTGCTTTTGCATTAGGATTTAATAGTTTACTAATCAAATGAAAGTAAGTCTTCATACTTTCAACATCTCTTCTGTGTATTAAAAATGGGAAGGGACTGTTTTGTTTTCCTCTGATCTTCAAGCCTCCTTGGGTGCTCATGGCGTATGTTATAGTCATGATTATTGTCTGAACATTTCAGTTAATAGTGCTGTTACGATACAATTGTCTTTTACTTAAGAAGAGTTCCTGATGAATGTTTGTGTGTTACCTAAGGTTTTTTGAAAGGTTGCCAGGAGGATTTAGATGACCATGGGTATTTGTTTTTCATCTGAATCCTGACAAGACAGCTAGCTGCAGGAGGTGCTTATACTGCCTGCAGACTTAAAGATCTATTGCAATCAATGTGTGTTTTCTTATTACCAAGAATAAGCCTCAAAAAATCTGTTAGACACATTGGAGTCAATTCTTTATCAATTCTTTATCAATTAAAAATTCTTTATCAATTAAAAAAAAAAAGTGAATTTTCTTTATGGCTTTTAGTGTTAGTTAAGCTGTTTGTATCAGAGCACTGGATTGCCTCAAGAATTGTTTTCTGTTACTCAGCTGAAATGTCTTTTTCAATAGAAACGTATCAGCTTTGTATCTGTCCTTGCTGGGTACTTAGGCTACAGAGAAAAAGCAGAAACTAAGTGATCTTCTATGGCTACAGTAGAAGAGGAGAGGAGTAGTACTAAATGGTAAAGCTAGTGAGTACTAATCACATTTGCAATGGAAACACGTTTTTTTCCCTCAGTTCGTACAAGTCCAAATCAATTCCCTCAATGGTTCAAGAGTGCGATGCCTGAGGAAGCAGTGCGCTGCACCTGGCAAACAGCAAAGTCTCTGCAGGGAAGGGGGAACAGGGACTGGTTCTGTCTGTTTCTCCTAGCTTTTGGGCAATCTGCTGCTCTCATGGTTGCCTTTCACTGCCGCCACTCAGCCAAGATTGGCCGTGTGCCCCCCGCCTTGGTATTCCTGTATATTGTTAAGATTTCCCTGCTGTGTCTTTCCTCAAAGCTAAATAGTCTCAACTCTCTCAGCTTTTCCTCACATGTTGGGTGCTTCAATCCCTTTATCATCTTTTTGGGCTATTTTTTTTTTTTTTTAAAAAAAAGCTATCTTTAATAGAGAAAAGTCTGTTCTCTCTAATAATATATATCTTGTTTCCTGTATTAATGTGAAGCATTACAAATAATCATATTTGCTGAAATGTATTGGGACAACATACACTTTTTGAAATACTAGAATTATTTGCAGTGCTTCAGTAAGACAAAGATGCATAAAAGCTGAGTATTGGTTGAGGGTTTTTTAAAGATCTCACTCAGTCAACTCAATACATAAGTATCTGAATTTGTTCTACTAGATATAAAAACTGTGGTGTAGTTTTATGATGTAGACAGCCCACCACTTCCTTTGATTAATCTGTTTCTCTTATCAAACTCATCTTGCATTACTTTACTGTAAGGCAAGATTATTTTTTTTTGTAATCAGAATTTAGATTTCTGTCAAATGCAAGTTTGGAGCTTAATTAATCTGAGGGTTGTAGTATAAATGAGTAAATCTGTGGAAGCAGGATGACAGTTATACTGTCTTTGTGTTGGGATCTTCTTCATTGCTACTCTTTCTGTTCCAGAGCTGCCGGACTGGAGTAACTCAATGGATAGCAGTATGCAGTGGACTATTACAGACAGCCGTGGTCCAAGGCCAGTGTAGAAGGATGCTTCATAGTATTTTCCAGGTAGGATGTCACAGTATATTAAAGTGTGTAAACACTGGGATGAATTTGAATCTGGAATAGTTTTTCAGTAAAGAGGCTTCCAGAAGCAGTGTCTTCACTTCGCTGTGTATTGCTGAAATATCGAGGCAACTTAAAAGCTTTCTGCTGCTGAAGGAGTGAGCTCCCACTCTTTATCACACGGTTGTCTTGATTCGGAATACAGAAATCCAAACGTAGGCGTCATTTTTTCAAAGCAGCTAATTACAAACAAGTCACATTTGCAGATAATTGCCAGCATTTTATGTTATAGAACATTTCTCTGCTGTACAGTAGCCTTGGACTTTCTAGTATTGATGGTATGTTTACCTAGTACAGAACAACATTGAGGAATATTATTTCAGTGTGAAAGCACTGCTTTGCAATTTTACTTCCAGTTTTAAACAAGCATACCTAGTATCAGATTGTGTCTATAGTAAATCAACAAGAGGATTGCTTAATAGCAGCCAATTATAGAGGTTAAAATGCATATATAGGAATGCAATACAAAACACAAATGGGAATAGATCAGAACAGAAATAGGGTATGTCTCTGGGTGTTTCCTTCATGCGTGCAAAGTAACCAGAGATTAATCCTCTTTTCTCTTTTCCTGTATATTACAGCTGGTAGAGCTTGGACTTAGAAAATTAGAAATTTCTAAGCTCTTTGGCTTTGATGTCTATCCTCTGATAAGACCTTCCAGTCCTGGAAAAATCACTTGTGCTTTTGTGATACTAATAAAGCACCAGCCCACATGAAGTAACATATAGCGTTGAGAGTAGTGAGAGAAATTAGCAGTTGTGAAGTTGATTGATAAAGTTAGACTTGACTCTGAGCCACATGTTAGGATTTAGAGGCTTCTGGGAATGGCTACACTGAACAAAAAAGCATATTTGCTTTGTCTGAATTTATTCATAAATAGTTTGCTACTGATTTGGGCAAGCTGTAGATATATGATAGATATGCTTTCCAGTGCGGCGCTTCTTAGAGATTCCACTCACTCCTGTACGATATTTTGTTATTATGCAGTAGCTGTGTAATGCAAATCATGTGCAATGTAGAGGTTACAGTGACGACTATTTCCCTGTAATTTGTTTTGCTCAAGTCTTGGCCATAAAGGCAGTTCAATGGACTATAAAGTTGTAGATTAAAAATGCCATAAGCTCTGTTTCTCTGCAAGGCCAGGAAAAATAATTATTTTTTTTAAGAGGCAAAAAGTGTAATTAGAAGTAGTTCGTGAGTCAAAGCAGTTAAGCTGTGGTTTTTGAGAGTGGAGCGTTCTGCCAGTCCATTCCATTAGTACATTTTCAGAAAACTAGTAAATTCGTAAAGTGGAGCATTAAGCATGAGCAGCCATTTTATTTGTAGCAGTTATGATATAAATTTGTGCTTTTTTTTTCTTCAGGATTATACCAAATTGGCTTGGAAGCAAAGTGAGGGTAATTGGTGTAAAGTTAAGTATTTACTAATCAATGGTGTCTTCAATTTTTCTTTTTCTTTTTTTGTTTCGTCATTTTTACTAGAGACACAAGACTGGCCAGTTCCAACTGTCTGAAGCCTGTGGTGGATTTATTCAAGCCAATGGAACCATTAAACAGCTAAATAGAACATTTTACAATACAAATAAGGTTAGAAGAATTTTATGTTTTTATTGTCAGGGCACATTGTTCTAGGAATTGTACAGATACAGGTAATGAAATGCTTTTGAAAGCATGTAGGAGATGATTCATCTTTTACGTAAAATATTTTAGTATAGCATTAACAATGAATCCAATAAATTGAAAAGAAACTCTGTTGCTTTCCAGAAAATGAACTGCTAGTACAGGAGAGTCAAATCGCATTTGCTTTTTTTGGGAAATGAGCCCAATGGGGAAAGAAGCAAAGTTGGGAAGAGTAGTTATTGGGGTGGGGGTTGGTGGCAGACGTTCCCTTCTTACCTTCAAAGAAGGAAGAACAGATGTTGTCCGATGTTGTCCATACATATTAGAAGTGACAAGATGTTTCCAGATTCCTTATCATGTGTTGCAGATGCTGTTGTTTTGCATGATAGCAGTGGACTTGGTGAACAGGTTTAATAGCCATTAGGTTTAAAGGGTCTGAGGTCCTGGACAGTGTGATGCTGTCTAACTAGGTGACTGATAGTAAAATGGCATTGAGCATGTTTCTTTTTAGTTACGTGTATACTAAGCGTGACGGAGGTCAAGACATTAATAGCCATCTGTGGATTGCACGAGTGCAAATCATTTTATCTCAAATGCTAATGATAGTGTGTACTCTCTGGATATATGTGGGAGTTGATTATGGCTCTAAGCTATATTTTTTGTAGCTTAGCAGTTAATTTTTTTTGAAGCATATCAACTTGTGCTGGATATGTATCAGTATTTAAATATTTGTGTATCATTCATGCCATTTCAAAAATCAGTTGTGCTAGGAAAGCTATAGAGAATACAAAAAGAATAAAGAGAAATCTGAAAAGCCTTCTATATGAGAGGAGGCTATTTTAGGACTCATCTGAATCACGGTCTGATAACTGATGGACCTATACATAATACTGGTCTGTAAAATTCATAAAAGGTACTGAGAAAGGGCATAGGAGATGGCTGTTTGTGGCTTCTTGTAGTTAAATTGGAGGCTTCCAATGAAATCCCAAGGTTGGGTTTAAAAGAGGCTCAAGGGAACTGATTTTATGTAACGAAGCTGTGAAAGTCATGTACCACAATTCTATGTATTACGGAGGTTAGATGGTTTTACAAACTGTTTTGGAGTGCTGAATTTGTAGCTGCCAAGAATAAATGTGTGCATACGTTTTCCAGAACGGGAGTGAGCATTAAAAGCTGGGCAGATATACCACAGGAACCTGCAGTGTGTGTGACTATTTCTCTGCCCTTCTAAGTGTCTCTTCTAAGCATCTGCGGATGGTCCTTGTTGGAGATGGGGTACTTCTCTGAGTGGTCTGGCCAAGTATGGCAGTGCTTATGTGGCTAAATTGCTTCCCTGCTAAGAAAATTCTTTTCTTAGTATGTTCACATCTTAGGAGGAAGTGCTTAAAGTGAAATTCCAGCGAGTTAAAGCAATTTAACGTTTCCTTGGTCATGGAAGTTTCTCAGATGATAATGGCTCTCAGCTGCATTCCTCAAGTATATGTACAAGATACATTTGCAGTAGATTTTGGTTAGAATGGTTAAAAGTAATTTATTTATAACATAATATTTATACTGCATCCTTCATTGATTAGAAATTATTTGCTGGAGTACAAATGATAATTCCTGTTGGCTGATTAGTACTGCTAGGAAGTTTTAGCCAGAATGCCACAAAGATTTCTTATCAGCCTAGTGCTGTATAGTTAATCTGGAGGAAAACATTTATCTTCATGTTTGCAAACGCTGCAAATCATTGAAGAATAAATTACTCCTCTGATGTAGATTTTCCACAAGTAAAATTGAGAAAAACTGCAATGGGAACAAGAATTTGAAGGAGCTTTCTAGTAAGATTTCAGTAAGCTTTTCAGTGGCTTCATGTGCCTTCATTAATTTTAAGATGGAGCTGATTGCTTTTTATCATACGTAATTACTCTAGAATGCAATATGGCTGTGAGAGTAAGACAGGATGTGAAAGGGCCAACTGTTTTTTTACTATCTCTTTACTATCCATTTACTGTCAATTTACTATTTGTTATTTACTATGTGTTTGTGATTTGTTTGCTTATTTTATCTGCCTGAGTAAAGGACAGTAATCCAGAAAGAATATGGTAATTTAGAGTAAGAGCAATATTTCAGAAAGCAGACTTCTGTGCAGTCTGGGCCTGAGCTCCCAGTGGGATGCTCTTATTGGAACAGACATGTAATGCTTGCATTTATATACAGAAGAATGTCAAGAAGGAAAGACAGTACACTGTTTTGCAGATAAAATCTAATATGTATTTGTTTCATTGAGCAGAGAAAGTAAACAGAAAATCTGAAGTTCTCTGTTAAACTTCTAGCTTGTCAAACTAAAATAGTCAGATCCAATTGCTGAAACTGATATTTGTGGTAATCTTTCTGTTTTACAGCATCTTTCTGCAAAAGATTCCTTGCAGACAGAAGAGAAAGTGGGTCCTTTCACAAGGATAATAGAAGCAATGGGTTTCACAGGACCTCTGAAGTATAGCAGATGGGTAAAGCATTTATTTAGTATCTTGGTTAATACTTTCAGCTTTCTTAAAAAGCAAAGACAAACAAACAAAAGCAGAAAAACTCACAACCGTTTTTTCTTGCGATAGGAACAATATTTATATGGAACAATTCTAATTATTACCCAAGTATGTCATTGTTTTATAATGCGGGGGATATAGTAATATAAGCTGGAACCTGCTTTGGTCTGTGTTGTCATCTTTGACCTAAGTAGGAACATTGCATTAGCTTTGTAGAGTCTTTAAGCCTTCTTGAATTTCTTCAGATAGCCTATTTTCCTCTTCGTTTGTGCACCAAAGAACACAATAACCACCTTGCTATCTTAAAAGTCAGTCCAACATCTGCACAGACCAGAATCTTGTCTCTGGTAATGACTAGTACCAGTTATCTAGAAAGAATTTAATTACAGTAAAAGCATATAAATCTATGCAGTTGCACTTTGAGCTCTTGTGAGCTTGTAACATCTACAGCATTCTATATTAAGGAGTTCCGTAGCTTAAGTATCTGCTGTGGGAAGAGGTACAGTTGTTTTCAATTGATGTTTTTTAATTTTGTCATTTTTTTTTTTTTTAAAAAAAAAGGTGATTATTCTTTCTTTGGGGTGTATGTTCACCTTTTCCCTTTCACTTGTGGCTTTATAATCTTACATATGCCGTATTATCTGAACTTTTTGCTGAACTGAAGAGACCTAGTCAAACTTGTTTCTGTTATTGAAACAAGTTTCATGTCTTGATTTTCGTTGGCCTTCTTTGCATCTTCCCTTGTTCTGTGTTTCTGTGACAGGAGTGTCTCTGAAATGGACAGTAGTGAGATGTTACTGCTGTTTCAGTAGTAGCTGCCTAAGGCAGAGTCACAAATAGGTCCTTCTCTTCGGTGTTTGTAAAAGAGTCCTTTTATAAAGCAGTTGTTAACAATGACTAAATGAGAGCAGTTCTGTAGGAGACCTCCAGTTCCTTCTGCACAATGGAAAAAGACAGATGCAATTCTGAATTTTGCTGTGAACCAGGTCACAGGAAAAGGTGACATGACTGGGAAGGGCTGAGCCCAACTGTGCAGATGTTAAAAACTTATAAGGTGCTTTGAATATCTGCAAGGCAGAGTGGACTTCCTGTGAGACTGATCTGAAACTGTTGCTTATTGCATCTTGCCCCTCAGAAAGAAAATATAAAGAAAAGATAACTGGCAGTTAAGGGGTTGAGGTATTTTGCTTGAAAACCAGCTGTTTATATCATATGCTGATAAACATCATGTTTCTCTCCCATGTGTTTGTGTACATATTGTTGTAATAAAGATTCTTGTTAGCTGCAAGTGTTGATTCAGAGCTCTCCTTAATTGCTACTCTTTAGTGCCTGCTTTTGGCTAGGGAACCTGGGTTTGGAGAGAGTTATTTTGTGGTTAGGGCTCAGGAGACCTGAGTTCATTTTTGGCCTTGCCAGTGCCCTCTATGAGATCTTAGGGACGTTTTCTTAATGTTTCTGTTTTTTTCTTTCTTCTCCCTTCCCTCTTACCTCTTCTACACACCAAAACTTCCATGATTAAATTTCACCAGTTTCTCCTGTGTTTCTCATCTTATTTAAGGGCTGGATTGCAGGAACTGTTCTTTACAGTATGTTTTTAATGTCTAATAACGCTTAGTCTGGAGCAGTGACTTTCACAGGGGAGATCTCTACTCCCAGGCCAGGCAGTGTTTCTTTTAAAATTGAAACCTTCAGAACTCTGGTAAATGGTGTAAATTATTTCACTGCAAGAATTTTAGACATGTAATCAATTGTTGAGAAAGCTTCTAATCCTATGTTTTTGACAGAACCTTGTGATTACTGAATAAAAAATTAATGGCCTCTGTGTTTCCACAGCAGATCAAGTGTAACTTTCCTATCTTTCTTTTGGCTGGAGGAGCCAAAATAAATAGTACTTCAGCAGTTTGAAGTGCCATTTGATAGGCATAGAGTGCTCATCTATAATATATTGATCACCAAGACAATCCCTAGTAGTTACCAATGAAAAGAAAACAAAACAAATAAACAAACAAACAAAAAAAAACAATGCTGATCCCTGGCTTAGGCATGTATGGGAGTAGGCTTTGGAATTTTCAATTTTTTTTATTTTTCTCCTCCCATGATTTTGGTAGACAGGAATAGCTGTCAGTTATTCTCTTTCAGAACTTTGTCTGTTATTGTGCTTTTTGAAGCTTCAGCTTGTCTGTCTTAGTTATCGATGATGCACTGATTTTTTTTTTTGTGGTGGAATGGCAAGCCATGAACAAAATTAAAAGTTCTGAAGCACCTGAAATATACCTCACATCATTCATTACACAGGATTGCTTTCTTGCTTTTGAAGCTTTGTTGGCCAAATCTTGTTTTTGTGGGGAAAAACAAGATATTTTTAGTACATCTGGTATATCGCTACTTAAAAAATAAAACATACAGAACACTAATGTATACATCAACAGGTAAAAATATTGGATGAATCTAGGAGTTGTGTGTTGGGATCTTTTGAGCTTCTGGAAGCTATTTCATTTATTTTTCTGCAATTCTAGTTTTATACTAAACTAGATTTGGAAGGGTATTCAAGCAGCCACTTAGCCATTTTTTGCCTCGAGGCAAGATGAATTACAGTTGTGTAATTTCTGGGAAATAATAATTTATTGTGCTCTTGAAAATCTCAGCTGATAGTGAGTCTCAAAAGAAGTCTTTTCAGAAGAATACAGCATATGTATTTAACAAAAACAGTAGTGTTCTTATGATGAATGATTGTATTCATCGTGTAATCAAGTATTGTCTTTTCTTTTTCTTTAGAAAATTAAGGTAGCAGCTTTGCGCATGTACACATGCTGTGTGGAGAAAACTGACTATGAGGAATTCTTTAACAGTAAGTTGTGTCTTTGAAGATACTAGAATTTGGAATGTAAACCTGGTGAGAGAACTTATGATGAAAAATAATTAGATAGGTTTACATGTATATCTATAAATAAGACAACAGTAAGACTTGCCATATGGTAACAAGTGCACAGCCAACTGGAAGCTGACTATGCTACGTTATTACTTTAAGCTCTGAAGCTGCAAAGGTTCAATGGCATGCTCTGGCTTCTGGAATTGTTACATTTTGTCCCCTGCAATGGAGAATAAGAACATGGTGGGATTGGTAAAACCAGAATATCCTGGAATTTGAAGGACATTGCCATTTCTATTACGAAGGGTGGGATAAGCTAAGAATCCAAATGTTTCTTTCTTTTTTACCATGGTCTGATGGTCTCTGTCTTACCCAGTCCCATGACTAGTGAGAAAGTCCAGTGTAATCAGGATACAGGCATGAGAGAACCATCCCCCTCCACTGATGCACAGTTTTTTTAATGATACAGGATCAGTTAGATTTCAGGGTTCTACTTGTCTCTCTTCCTTGTATCTGGTTAAGCCAGGACACATCTCCTGACTAGTTGGTGTGACTAGAACCAAGACACGTAAGTCTCTCCTTTAAGTATACACGAATTTTAGCTGGAATTGTGATGACTCTTCCTTGTTGAACAGTTTTGTGGTTTTTTTTAGCTATCAGTGAAAAAATCTGTTGCTGCTTTTGTTAGTATCAAATACAGATTGGTGAATGGGGAGCTGTATGATTCACTTAAGTAAATTTCAAATAATTATTCTTATATGAATTATTTCCCATGACAGTGTGATTATGGTTGTACTAGGCATAGGTGGGAGCTGCTGCTGCTTCTTCAAGAGATGAGCTGAAGGTGCATCTTTGTGTTTTAATCTAGTGCAGAATTTTCTGAGGGTGGTTTGGCACATGGTATTGCTGCTGCAAGATTTTCCGATGGCTTTCAAAGGTTTTCTAAAACTATGATGTGGTTTCAGTGGTTGTAGGGAGAACTCTATAAGTAGTAGGATTCATCACTGATGATGAAAAAATTAGAACCTCATCTTTTCTGCACACACACAACTCCCCAGCTGTGTGTCCTCTCAGACTTTCTCAGCTAAATAGTCTTGTCATATGTACCTCTCAGACTTAAGTTTTGCTATTTTTAGCAGTTGTTTCACTATCTCTGTTTAACAGATTAATTGAAAAAGATTTATAAATGTTACCCTAGATTGAAGGATTTTCAGAACCTGTCTAGGAAAGAGATACTGTGTTTTCTGTTTGCTACAGATTCTTCTGGCTCAGTACTGAGCAAAATGACTTCAATTACTATTTTTGTATTATTTTTGTATTCTTGGTACTGTCTTACCATTTTAAAGAGAAAAATTCCTGGAGCTCTTCCTCTCTTCAAGCATATCACAAACAGCAGGTGGTCTTTCCCTCCTTTTTCTCCAGAATGTCATAGTTGTTCCTATTGTCTTTTTGCTCTACAGTACAAGTTGTAGCCAGTCAAGTTCTAAATTTATACACAGGGAAATCTCTGCTTGCATTCATATGAGACCTTTTTAATGCAAGGAAGTAGTTTTGTTGACACTGACTGTATGATGTATCTGTTGGTGTAAGAATGCCTGTGATGTTGGTGCCTATGGTGGTTGTTCCAAAGAACCATTGTTCTAATATAGACAGATGTTTCTGTTACTTCTATCTCCTGCAGCTGTTTGGGGAATTGGCTCTAGAACCTAATAAGCATGTGATCTGTGTTTAAAAATTAATTCCCCTAAAAGATAGACTGGATGGAGTGGACAGGAACCTTTTACTTTGTTTGTTTGTTTATTTTTAACCAATGAAGAGCTTTAGGTTGTACATGTAGTTCCACGGGCAGATGAGTTGAAAGGGTGGCCAAAAGGAAAAGGCTCGCTTCTCCATCTTCCTTCCTCTTCTCTGCACGGGCTTTCTGCCTGTGTCTAGTTTGTTCAATTACCATGTCCTCTGATGAAATGTTTATGTCACTGAAAGGAACTAGCCTGCTTTTTTGCTGCCTTCCTGTTTTGCTGTGTAAGTGAATTAGTGACACATGGAAGGGACTGATGGCCAGAGGCTGTGGCATAAAATAGGTGGTGAGGAGTATGTGGTTCAGAGGTGGGAACATGGCATACAAGATATCCAACTTAGTTCAAGTCGTCCTGTTTTAATCAAACTATATCAGTCAGGAACAGGTTTTTCCTTTTCGAGTTGGTCCTTTTTCAAGTAAAGGGAACAACACCTAAGCCAGAACTACGGCTTATTCTCAAAAGAGCAGTCTGGGATACTAGTAGGAACAGGAAGCAACTACCTCTTAGCTCTGTCTCTTGGTGATGTAGCAAACACAGGTGTGCCTGAGACCATGCTGATGTGGGTGCTACACACCCACACAATGAACTGCACTGCTCAAGACCCCTATGAATGGTAATGCTGCTGTGTGAGACTCAGATCAGGTCTGCCTGCACCAAAGCTGACTACATGCAGACCTAGAAGTGTAGTTATGTTTTGCTGCCCCCAGCACTTCTGGCTGTAGTTGCATGGTGCTGAGATATCCAAGTGAAATGAACAGTCAGCTCAGGTCTCTGGAGATCTTATTAGCTTTTTCTCTGTAGTTTGTGAAAGCTGTTAACCTGCTGAGCTGGCCTTGAAAACAGTATGCCCATGCATGTGTAAAACCATTTATGGGCTGATTAACCCCGTGTGATCAGAACTGGTTTGTCACAGAGTTGTCTTCAGTGTTTCTGGACCTGCTTTTGTGATGTGGTTACCTCATGGCTAGAATAATAACTGTGATGTGACCTTGTGGAACTCATACTGGTATGTGGATTTTGTGAGGTGGTTCTCTGACAGGTGACTTGGGTTGGATGGATATCGTAGTGTTGAGGACTAGAACAATGACATAAAATGCATGTCTTACACGCTATCTTGCTGTCTCAGTGCATTTCTGCTGATACCTTGTGCATTTTTCTGAGAGTTTCTTTCATGCACTGTGAGCACTGTCTACTGCCCTTCTCTGCATGATGCTGTGGAACAGCAGTTCCTAGAACACTATGGATACGAGGTACATGAAGCTTCTGTAGAATAGAAAGGAGGTGTTCTAACTGAGGGTCTCCAGTATTATACTTAAGTTAACTTTAGTGTGTGTGCCATTCTGCTCTCTCTTTGTCCATGGATGATTATAAAGCAAAATTTTGGGAACTCTGCTTTTGGGCTGACATCCCAAATATCTGCCACACTGTGTTGCTTATATGGAAAGTGAGGCTGTTTTAGCATTTTTTCTGTCCTTTGTACAAAGGAGAACAGAGAAATAGTAGAGGGAAGTAAGATTACTGGTGCAAAACCTTCTGTGCATAAAGCTTGTAGAGTTTGGGTAGTTCTAACAAAATATAGGAAGCTCCTGTTTGTGAGGAGAACACTTCACTTCATGCTTATCCTTATATTTGAAAGACCAGAAGTGCTGTTAATATCAGGTAGGTGATACTGAGAGCTGAGTTGGAGTTTGTCTGAGCATGGAGCGTAGGGTTACCTTGAATTTATATTCATCTGTTAATAGTGTTAATTGCCCTGTTGTTATGCAGCTGCACTAACAAAGAGCTGGCCCTATTTCAGGTAGTTCTTAGTAGGGTCTATCAAGAAGCACAAAAGAGATGGAGTTTACCTACAGTGCTTTGGATTCTTCTGGCTTCTGAAGCCCATCAGGCATCCTATTGGCACCTGCTGCTGTCTCAGTCTTGCTCTGAGTGGAACGCTGATGTAGTGCACCTATTTTTTTTTTCAGGGTGTGGGGATGCTATCCAATTGTGTTCTTCCTAAAATTGTGATAGTTGCAAAGATGATCTATCATGAAAAATTCTACATTCAAGTTTGCTTCCCCTACTTGATGAATTTTAAGTGCAGAATATGACTGGAGAAAGAGGTACGTCCTCATAATCATGGGCATTCATGTCTCTTACGTGCACAGGTGTGAACAGGAGGTATTCTGTAGGCAGAATAGATTTATTCCCTGGCTGATAACTATCACAGTAATTTCATAGGTAATTGCGCTTTGTGATATTCTTTTTTTCTGCATCTAACTATATTCTGAAGGGAATAATTTTCTCTTGAATTACAGGATGCATATTTCTGCCATGTTAGTTTCCTGGAATGAGGTCTTTCAAAACCCCAAATTTTATAAGTACCTTCTTTCAAAAAAGCTGATAACTAAGGGGAAGCTTGTTGCTTTAAAGAAACCGTCTCTCCTTCAAGTTTAGGATACAGTCAGTCTTAATATTGAAGTTAAAAAAAAAAAATGAATTATGGAAATAGAAGTGCAACACTTTGAAAGCTAGAGGAAAAAATTCTTCCCTCCAGGTTATTGAATAGGTGTTTACAAACTCTCAGTATTTCCAGTAGTGGAGTTGTGAGCTTTGCTTTCCAATGAATTGTTAATTTTTGTGGTAGGAGACTGGTATGTGGGAATTGATTTCAGAAAATTCTCTCTTTTGAATGGAGTGTTTCACTCTGTGTCTTACCTGTGGAACCCTCATTTAATGAAATTGTTTGATTAATGCAAGTGCTGTGTACTCTCTCTCTGATTAGAGATGCCTTAGCAAGTCTTTATGTCAAAGTAGTCATTTCTAGGCTCTTGAACTATTCCTAATAGGAATGAGACAGCCAGAATGGGAGATGGGTGAGGAAAACCTCTGTTTAATCTCCAAACATAGACTGTTAGTGTTTTTATACCCTCTTAGAGGTGGTGTGGGTGATACATGGGCATTTGATGCTGAAGATTGGCACCCCCTATGCCCTGGTGGAATTATCTCTTTGAGGAGGGAGCAATAGTGAGTGTTTGTTGTGGTGGATGCCTGACCATGGTTGGTATGTAAAAAGAAAGGCTGTAAAAATATTGCTTCATAATCCAGGTGAGCCTCCTTGGTGGTACTTGGGAGCCAGGAAGTATAGGAGTTGGGAAAGAATACATTCCAGTACAGAAAAAGATAAGGCTGGCTTCCTTGGGGCATATCTGACAGGAGAGTCTGTTTTTGAATACTCTGGCCTTCTTAAAACTAGATTTGAATAGTTCAGAAGACAAGATGAAGTGCTTGGTAGGCGAAGGCAGCTGTGTTGAATCCTTCTCACGAGGGATTCTCTACTGCTGTTTAAAAACTTCTTCGGAGACAGATGTAGAAATAGCTTCCCACAAGGAAGCTTTAAGATTGAGAGGAGCTAGAGGACTTAATGTGCACGTAGCCCATAGGTCCATGCTTTTTAAACATGAGGAAGAGGAGTTTGTTGTGGCCTATAGACTAAATTTCCAGCCCTACAGCCTCATGACATGGTACAAATTCGGAGTGTGAACATGCCTATGGAAACCTCTATAGCCCGGTGGCTATTGTAGAAGAACTGAGTATGGAAGAAGTTGTTTCTGTGGTTGGTTGTTTTTAATAATCCTAATATGGCTAGAAGCAAGGTATACCCCAGAGTGTAGTGGGTTCTGCAGCCACGTAGCAAGTCCTGACAGCTGAGTCAGAGCTAGCATGGTGTCCTGCCTCCAGTAGGAGGCAACAGCACTTGATAAAGGATGAGTGTAAGAACTGAGCAACGCATCCACTGTTACTACCTTGTTATTCTCTACTGCTTTGGGACTTTAGAAGCCACGTATTTTTCTTCTTAATTCTCCATTATGGATTTTTTTTTTCTAATATAAATTTTATCTGAGTTCTACGCATATGAAATCTGTTGGAATCTGCAGTGTCCCATGACTGCATGTTCTAAATTTTAAGCACATGTTTGACAGTAAATGATGTTTGCTTCCAATATGTATTTACTATGTAGAGCTAGAAATTAAATTACTAAAATGTATTTGGCTTTTAGTGGAGTGAATTTCTGTTAGATGGAAAAAAAAAGATGAAATTCATATTAATATTTAGCTTTGTTTCCATCAAGGGTGCCAAATGCCTGATACTTTGAATTCCTGGTTCCTTGTAGCACAGCTTCATGTCTGGTAAGTGGAACTTAAATAGTAATATAACTATTCTTAGGAAATAGAATGATAAGTACCTTATGGGGGGGGGGGGGCGAGTAGGATATATGGTTACTGATAACAATGTTTATATTCAATTTACTAAATACTGAATTTTAGTAGTTTTCTACTAAAGAGCAAAAAGACCTACGGAGAAGCTAACATTGTTTAAATCTCTGAATTCCTAGGTAGTGGAATGATCTGTGCCATGAGTTTTCAAAAAGCCTTGCCTAGTCTGTGTGGAAAAATCTTATTTGGGTGTTTTAGGAAAAGTTTAAATTTATGTAGAAGTGTTTTAAATTGTGAGAATTTGTGGTGGTTGAAGTTGCTGCTTGTCAGAAGCATTTAACAAATTATAGCGCTGGCATTTATTCTTGCACCTCTGAAATGTGCATACAGGTTGGTGAATGCCAGCTTGGCTGTATGTAAAAATATTTAACACCTTACACGTTAAGTGTTTTGCCACCTTTTTTCATTTGTGAAAATAGCCAAAAAAAATCAGTTCTTCATCTAATATTACCTACTCATAAAGGTCAGAGGGATGCACAAGGGAGTACAGTTTCATGAAAGACCTGGCACTTAACAAAAATTACTGAAGTACATAGACTTGCACTCAGCTATCCAAAGGCTGAAAGGAAGTTTGTACTAAAATAGTTGCCTTACGCACAGGCCCCTTATTTCCTTGCCTCCTTTTTTTCCCCTTCCCTCTTTTTAATTTCCTGTCTCCTCAGTATATTGAAAGATGGGGCAGCTCATTTCACCAAGCAATGAGTAAATTAGCAGAACCATTGAATCAGTTAATGAAATCAGTGGAATCATTTAATGGATTACCCTTGAGACTTGCAGTTTATTTCTTACAGTTTCCTGTGAAAGGGACATTAATAATTGAATCAATAAGGCAATCATGTTTTGATATTCGGAAAACTACTGCAATAAACTTCAAAATCAAACCATTTGTAAATACCTGGGGGAAAACGAAGAGGGGTAACATGAATCTGCAAAGAACTCTTTTTTTCACATCTTGATTTTGCATTGATAGGAAAATGTACATTGTGCCAGCATCATGGTCAAGATGTATAATCTCTCATGACTGACAGGTGTAAAAATAAATAAGGCAACTATGGTAGGGAACTGTGATAGAAAAGGAATACTGGATACAGAACTTCTAAGATCACTGCTACGTAAGAGAAAGCCAAGAATTTGAGCCTGTGGTGCTAAGGAGACAGCTAATGAGGGACACTGAAGTTCTTTTATGCTTAAGGTATGGTCAACATGTTGACAGCAAGGTACTACACAACACTGAAGAAACTAAATCTCTGCTTCATTCGACAACAGACTCTGAAGTCTGTTGCAAGACTTCATCTGAGTATTGTGTCCCATAAGGAAAACTGCACTTGTTAAAGTGTTGAGCAGTTTGAAAGAGTCCAAAGGAGAACAAGAACCATCAAGTTTGTAGAAAACTGTTCTTGCAAAGAAATAATTATCAGATTTTCATAGAAAGGAGTGAGGTTACTGTACTATGAGACTTGCTGCTTCAGAAGAAAGGAAGTAATCTGTCTATGGTTCATCCTAGGAGAACAGGAAGCAAGGGGCTTAAAATTGCACCAAGAGAGAGTCTTAAATAAAGACATTTTAAGAACAAGTTTATCTGGACTGTCTTAGACATTTAGTTGAGGCATTCCTGTCTTACCTTGAGGGAATGGGCTAATTGACCTAAGCAGAGGCACGAGGAGGGAAGATGGCTATGCAGCCAGGCTCAGATCTATTAGCTTGTGTCCTATCAAAAAACTATACGTGGTTGTAAATACAGTAGTTAGCAAACTTGATAGGCTGAAGCAAAGGATAACATGCAAACATTCTAAACAATAATGAGCAAGAATTCAGAATTCTGCTTCTTACCATTATTCTAAGCTACCATTGGTCGTAAAGTATATCATGACATATAGCTGAAGTCTACTCAGGAACTTCCTTCTCCAGTATCCAAGTTGCTGGCCATTCATGAATGATCTGGGTTAAACAGAGTAAAGCAACAGCTTTCCAAAATTCTTGTTGATACTTCTGTTGTTAAGCCAGAGTAATTTCTCTGATCTAGTGTAACACAACCCTAGAAATTGTTGTTCAGGAACAACTGAGTAAGCCAGAATGACTGGCTATGCAGGGGATAGTATGAAGCTCTGAGTGGGCTTTAACCGTGGAAGCATATTATCACCTTGATTGTGTTGTACTGAGCCACATCACACCAGTTAATTGGGGTGATGACAATTGCTGCTTCTGGTGTATAAGCTAGTCAGTGGACATTACGGGAATACCGATGGAAACAGTCACAGCTGAGGCTCTTGTGGGAAACTGCTACTTCTTGCTTAAGATGGATAGAGGTGAAGGTGCTCCTCTTCCTTTTCAGGCATCCTTTCATATATTTTTCTTCTAACATAACCTCTCTGCATGTATAAATTATCCAGCAAATGTTAGGTAGATAGATTTCTAAAGACAGTCTGGAATAATCCTGCTTTCGTGCTTTGATGAAGATGAGTCAGTATTTGAGTAAACTGCAGAACAGATTCAGTAGTGAAACGATAGAATGTTTCACACTGTGTTGATCCAGTTAGAAGGTTTATAGTCTTTAAAGAGAGTGTGTCTTTTTTAAACCTCAGACAGCAGGTGTAGTAACAAACTACCAAATTTTCAAATAAACTGCAGATTTCCATGATCTCACTCGTGGTGCTGCAGAACAGCTCTGTGACAGCACTATGCATCCAAACACAGAGAAACCTTTTAGACTTCAAGGGTAGTCAGTTTTAACTAAGAACACTACTCCATTCCTGCTCATCAGTGACCAGTTGTTAACTGCTAGTCTGTGAACTACTCTCCTCTTGGTTTGCCATTGCTAAGGCAGACTAGATGGGAACCAGTGTTTATGCCTGTGGGGATTCTTGCCAAGCCACTTTTTTTTTTTCCTTTTTTTTTGCCGTGCTTGTGTATTGAGTGAGAGAAGCATAAAAATATTTTTCTTAACCCAGAGTTAGACTTCTAAACTTAGTCTTTAACTCGTTGACTTAAGAGTGAGCAAAAAATTTTGGATACAATAACTAATTAACATTTTCATACAAGTCAATTATATAAATACACAAGAGGAACAAAGGTTTTGAAACTGGTGGAAGTAAGTAAGAAAGAAGTTTTAAGCTTGCTGTGTGTTTGACTTGTGGCAAGATAGACAGCTGTCCTGGTGTCTGGACCATTGGTTTAGCAGAAAGCTTTGCCATTTTTCTGAGGGCAAGAAGCTGACAGATTCACTTTTTACTACCATCTTAATTGCATTTAGTTGCTGGGACAGTGGTGCTATTAGACTGAAATGGGGTTGTCACTGCCACAATATAAACCTTGGGAATTCTTACATGGCTCTGTTTCCTGGAACGGGAATTGCCACTCATCCCAGTGTTCCCTTCACTGACTGTTGCCTGTTCCCTTTTCTACCCACCCTCTACCCAGGTTCTCTGTCACTGTGGTGGTTTTACTCGGGTGTGCACCCAAATTCCACCATGGCTGCTCTCTCACTCCCCATCCTCAAAGGAAAAGGGGAAGAAATTACAATGCAAGGGCTCAAGGGTTGATATAAGGACGGTGAGTTAGATTCTTCTCACAGAAGCCACCCCTATAGCCCCCTGCCACCAAAACCTTGCCATGTAGACCCACTACGGTCACCTTTTGATCACACGTCTATGTGACACGCCTCAGTCCCTCTCTCTGGCCTTCTGACCTCATTATGTTAGGATTGTGTTATATTGGAGCCAGATCCATGGAGCCTCTAATGGTTGCTGTCATTTTCCAAAGCCGCCATCTAGGAATCAGATTCTGGCCCAAAGGCTATTCTTTTATTGTTGGTGTGTCAGTTGAATGACCCTTGTATGGGACTTATATGTATGGTTCTATTTAGGAAAAAAAGAGTAGAGAAGCAATGTAGGTTTTGGTGCCTTCAGTTTGCTTTGACTCTGTGACTCATCTCTGGCAATAAATTTTTCTATCTTTGCAGATTAAAACAAAGTTTTATTTACTAATCAGCACATCACATAGAATCCATCATAAAGATTGGCATCTGCCCTTTTACAGGTCAGCCCAACAGACAAGTTTCAAATGTTTATGATTTTCTCTGAGCTGGCATTCACAGAGCACCAAATACTTCTAATGCCTGAAGGGAAGCCCAGATCTTATCTCCACTGGAGAAATGAACAGATGCATAAATCATTTTTTACCTCTTAACTCTTGTGGTACCTTCACTATTGGTAATACGTGACTGCTTCAAAGAGGCCTGCAGTAGCTCTGCTCTGTTGCCTTTACAAAGTTGTGAGAAAAAGCTTTTATGTGAGCAGTTCCTAAGCTGTAGCATGTCTCTGTGCAAAGCTGTGACTTATTTTAGTTTCAATGTTTGAGCTTCACTGCATCCACAGTAACTTAGTCAACCCAAACAGGCTCTTCTAATCTGAAAAACAGGAGCCGAGCTGACTGGTAAAGTGGAGAACGTGGGCTGGTGATGGGACTTGTCTCTTAGGTTAGTGAGGCAATAGCCTGTATTTCAGTTCATGCTGTTTACAAATGTAGGAGGAAATAAAAGGAAATACATTTGTTGTGGTGGTGGTTTATTTTTTAGACTGAATAGCAGCAATGAATTTCAAATGGCTTTAAAACTTGTTATAAATTAAAAAAAAAAAAATTAAAACAACGCAACCTGGTATTCATAGTAAGATTGCGGAATCATCTAGGTTGGAAGAGACCCCCAAGATCACCTAGTCCAACCTCTGACCTAACACTAACAAGTCCTGCACTAAACCATATTGGTAAGTTCAACATCTAAACGTCTTTTAAAGACCTCCAGGGATGGTGACTCCACCACTTCCCTGGGCAGCCCATTCCAGTGCCTAACAACCCTTTTGGTAATGAAGTTCTTCCTAATATTCAACCTAAACCTCCCCTGGTGCAACTTTAGCCCCTTCCCCCTCATCTTCTCACCAGGCACATGGGAGAATAGACCAACCCCCACCTTGCTACAGCCTCCTTTAAGGTACCTGTAGAGTGCGATAAGGTTGACACTGAGCCTCCTCTAGGCTAAACAGCCCCAGCTCCCTCAACTGCTCCTCATCAGACTTTTTCTCCAGACCCCTCACCAGCTTTGCTGTCCTCTGGACTCGCTCGAGCAGCTCGATGTCCTTCCTGTAGTGAGGGGCCCAAAACTGAACACAGTACTCAAGGTGCGGCCTCACCAGAGCCGAGTACAGTGGGACAATCACTTCCCTAGCCCTGCTGGCCACACTGCTTCTTATACAAGCCTTCCTGGCCTTGTTGAACTTCATACAGTTGACCTCAGCCCATGGGTCCAGCCTATCCAGATCCTCCTGCAGAGCCTTCCTACCCTCGAGCAGATCAACACATGCACCTAACTTGGTGTTGTCTGCAAACTTACTGAGGGTGCACTTGATCCCCTCATCCAGATCATTGATAAAGATACTAAAGAGTACCAGCCCCAGTACTGAGCCCTGGGGAACACCACTAGTGACCAGCTTCCAGCTGGATTTGACTCCATTCACCATGACTCTTTGGGCCTGGCTATCCAGCCAGTTTTTAACCTAATGAAGCGTACGCAAGTCCAAGGCAAGAGCAGCCAGTTTCTTGAGGAGAATGCTGTGGGAAACAGTGTCAAAAGCCTTGCTGAAGTCAAGGTAGACCACATCCACAGCCTTTTCCTCATCCACTAAGTGCATCACTTTGTCATAGAAGGAGATCAGGTTTGTTGAGCAGGATCTGCCTTTCATAAACCCATGCTGACTGGGCTTGATCATGTGGTTGCCCTGCAAGTGCTGCGTGATGACGCTCAAAATAAGATCCTACAACACACAAACTTGTGATTTCTTCTAGCATGTACTGCATTTAGGGGTTTTACCAAGTGGTTGGATGTGTATTCTAAGATCCCTGTAGTTGAAATAATTTAGGACAAAGCTAAAGTGAGTTTGGGTGATGTCTGTAACTTGCTTAAGCTTTTGCAGCTTGGCTAGGACAGACTCTTCCAGCATTTTAGTATACCAGGCCGAATTAACAGCTGGCTTCTAGCCTAGGATTAGACAAGATATTTGTTCCTACTCCAGAGTGCTATGTTCTTAAGGCTATGGAATTTAGGTTGCAGTACTGTTTAACTAGATTACAGTACTGTCAGCCAAAGTAGAGTTTGCTGTCACTCTTCCATAGCTGGATTGGCCGAAATCCAACAGATACAGCTCTTGAGAACAGAATAGACAAATTTAGGATATTTTTAAAAAAAAACTTTGTTCCTGATCACAAAAGCACATACTCTAAGGAGAATCTTAAATAAGCTGAAATAGATTTAATTTATTCTTTAGATTTGAAGAAAAACTGGAAGCTATGAATATGGTGTTTATGTTCTTGCAGGATGTGTCTGGTACGAATGAAGCAAGAGGGTCGTGCTGGAAAATACATGTGTCGCTATATAGTTCATTGCATGTGGGAGGATGTTCAACAGCGTGGTAAGGTGATGGGGGTAAGTTATCTTTGGTGTTGATAATCTTGATTATTTTGATGATTCATCTCTTCCAATGCTTTTGTAAATTCACGTCTTGAAAGAATTTTTAAGAATAAACTTATAGCTACATATGTAGTTCTGTATTACCTTAAGATGGTACGTGTAGCCTTAATCTTGGTCACTCGTTCCTGCAGCTGCACTGGCTATTGTATTGAGCCCCTGACTTTAGTTTTGAAACCATATCATGGCCTGGATGAAGATACTGATTTGTCTGTAAATAATTAATTTTCCACATGGTTTGCTACCTGATTGCAGAAACATATACTATTCTAAACTCTCTGTATTTGATTGTATTTCTCAAGTATTATGTTTTCAGTTTTTCATTGTCCTGTGCTTTCAGCCTTGACTTCCTGTTTATCATAGTCTTGTCTAAGAAAAGCACCAGAGAAAAAGACTGAATGAAATAGCTTATGCATTTTTGGCCTTTTCCCATGTCTTCCATGTCATAGCAGCTGTTTCATGTTTCTTTAGAAACTGGAGATGGTTCAGAGCCTTGTCCTAGGTGTAAATTTAAGGTTGCTCCTCTTTAAAAACAAACAAAACCACATTACCCCTCCTCAGCTGCCCCCCCTCTCCTCCTCTCATCTCTTCAGGGTTCTTTGAACTCCATCAGAGCACAGAGAGAATACTGCTTTTGGACAGAAAGCTATTTCTCTGTTCCTTTTTGACGATGCTGTTTTTATTTATATGAACTAAACTCAAATGTCATCTTTTAGTTTTCCTTACAGGATTTGGGGCTTGGACCCAATGATCCCTTGAGGTCCCTTCCAACCCCTACAATTCTGTGATTCTGTGTGATTCTGTGATTTGAAGCAACAGCAAACAGCAAAGAGAAGCAAAGCTGTTTGCTACCCTTACAAGTATGAAGAATGCAAAAGCGAGGCATAGTGTAAGTTAGAGCTGTATCGAGGCTTTTAAGTAGTCTCCAAGGAAATAAAAAAAAAAAAAGATAGGGCTTATTGTCCTTTCTTTGTGAAGGGAAGCACAGGGCTTCCATTTCTGCAAACTGAATTATTCATCTGCTCTCAAAATTCCCCCCAGATGTTGAAAATTGAAAGCTTCCGTATATGTTTTTATCTAATCTGGAGCCTCAGATGTTAATATATGCTTTTTTAATTGTGTGTTTGCTGTATGATGCAACTATAAAGAGATCATATGTTGTTTAAATGCCATTCATTCCTTGCTTTGGCAAGCTAGGCATCTTTTCAGTTTGTCCTTGAATTAAAATTTCACAATCTTTGTAATGATGATCATGCAATGTAATAATAAATATGCTTATACTGCAATAATAAGATGCCTACAATATGTTTTACATTATCAAGATATGCTTTTGGCTGTAACCTACTCTTAACATAGCTTTTATGTAGCAATAGCTGATGCTTAAAGAAAGCATGTACACATTTAAAGGCTTGATCCCACAAACAGCTATATCTGTGTGTATATTTAGTACAATTTAGCTGCACAGAAGCCCATAGATTTTAATGAGACTCCCAGTGAGAGAAGGTGGACTCTTGAGGTAGCAGCTAACTAGAATAGGCACTAAGAAAGCCTAGTGAGCTGTACTAGTTTGTAGACTTGGAAATCAGGACAGTGCTCTGCCCCATCCTATTTGTGAAGGAACATAGCTTTCATAATAGTTCAGAGTTTTTTCATTCATCCTTTAATTATTCCTAATCTTTCAGTCATTAGTTTGTCAAGTTTTTATTTGTAGTATTTAAGTCTTAACTCTTCTGGTAGTATTTATTGTCTGTTGCATAAGAACAGTTTATACATTGATGTTTGTAGAGGTTAGCTGTTCCCTTTTTCCTTATCCTCACTTTTTTTTTCCCTCTGTGCTAGTGATCTTAGCCTACTGTCCCATTTTGCCCATCCCTCTGCACAGGTAATTCTCCTTTCACCCATGCTTTCTCATCCTTCCTCACTTTTTTTCCACTTCACATTCATGTATGCTCACTGAACTTCTCACATCTCAGCTTTAGGAGTAGTAAGTGATAAATAAAGGACGCTTACACTGGATGTTAGGTTCTAATTATTAATCTTGATGTATGTATCTCTAGCCTTTCATCTTAAAAGAAGTTGAGGTAATTCTTTACCTTCTCTCTTACAATCTGACAAAGAATTTGTGATCCAGTTGAGAAATATGTATAAAAGCTGTTTATTTTAAAGCAGTTTAGTCCTGCAGTCAGTATATATTGAACCTTCAAAAGAAGATAGTTAAATATGTCAAGAGAAGAATAGTAGATAAAGGGAAAAGATTATGACATTAGTGTTTCACTGCTGGTGCTTTCAGATTTCATAATCTGAGACTTTCTCAGAAGTAAGTCAAATGAAAAGAAACTTTTCCTGAATTATTTTATGGCACTAAGATATCAGCTGCAGAGCTCCCAAAAGGAGCAATGGAAATTCTATACCCTGATTTTCTGTCATACAGGGTATCAGTGGTCAATATTAACCCCCAATTGGTACATTCCTGTATAGCGGTACACGTGACAGAGGACCTGTATGAAATTTGCAGGTTGGATGCAGTTAGATTAACTTAGTGACAGACAAAGCTGCAGTTCTTCAGCTTGTTTTCATATCTAGCAAGAATTACAACATTTGATGCAGAAAATTGATATTATATTCCTGAATTGATATGGATAGTTTATTGAAATACGCCATCTGCTCTTAAGTATATAAGTTCATTGGAGCTGAAAGTGATAGAATGCAAGGCATTTTAACTGCTAATTTACATCAGCTCCAACTCCAAATGGAGTTTGTATTATTTCAAAAACTGGTTGTTAAAATTGCTGAAATCTAAATCTCAGCTACAAAGTTTTGGGACCTGTTAGCCTGAGCTCCTTCAGCACTCCTGAATGTCGGCAAGAGTCAGAAACCAAAACTTGACACAGCTGTAAAAACACACAGAGAGCCTGTGGCCTCAGCAAATTCTACTGGTGCAGGCATATTTCAGATATAAATTTTACTCTGCTGTCCCTTGTACTAATGAAGTCAGTTTCTTTTGGTGGATTTGCAGCCAGGTGTGTCCAGTTCTGTGGCTAACCAGTGCTCTTTACTTAATTTTTCCACTAGTGACATTTCTATCAAACTTTAAAAACAAACAGAAAAATTGGCTTGATGCAATGGCTCAAAGTGTTAATAGTAACGTTAGGCTGGGTAAAAGACTTCTTTCGATCCTGCTTTGCCAGAGATCTCCACCTTGTGGCTTGCAGTGAATAGACTTACACTGTCCAAACTGGCAGCTGCTTTATCGTTTTATAAGGGTAATTCAATCAGAAATTTACTAGAAATTGCTGCTATTTGTCTTCCAATCAGTGTTCTTCAGCAACCTGAATATTAACCTTACTGATCTGAGTATTGTTTCACTAACTGGGTGTGTATAAAAGCAGTTGTTGCAAGTTTGAATAGTATTTTAATATGCTTAGATGAAGCTGCAGACCTGATCAGAAGGATTTGTGGATGCTGGAGTTCCATGGAATGGAATTTCAGATGGTAATCTGACAATAGAGATGTGATTCTTAAAACAAGAACAAGAACAACAAACACAATAAAAGGCAATCCCCCCCCCCCCCACTACTTCTGGATGCAGATTGCATGCAGCTTTAGAAAGAGGCATCAGCTCTTCACTCAAATGCATGTATATTGTTGTAAGCTCATTTTAGCAGTGATAATCTTGTGTGTTGTGGTAGCATTGTGCTTCTGAAATAAGTTTTTTTCAGTGCAGAAGAACAATTCATTTTTAAACTGTATGTGTTCTAAAAGCTGCAAAAGAGATGAGAATAGGAGGGGCTGTCAAGCCCAGCATGCCCAAACATGTTTTAATTTATCTTAATCCCACTTTCCTGTTTTCCCACCAGACCACTCAGACCCCTGCTCCCCTGCCCCCCTTTTTTTTCCAGGAACACATCTAGGTGTCTTTTGAATTCATTTATTGGCTCTGCTGCTCATAGCACAATACAGTCTTTGTTATACTTTTAGCTAGAGCTGTTTATATACAGTGACCATAATTTGTTCTCAGTTACATTGGTGTACATCTTAAGTAACACCATCAGAATCAATAACATGGTTCACATCAATGTAGCTGAGAGCAGAATTTAGCTCTGTAAATTTGAACACAATTTTGGCTTAATACTCTTCGTACAATTAAAAGACTTTAGAAGATTAAAATGGCATTTTGCTGTACACCAGCAAAAAAAAAAAAAAAAAAAAAGCACGGAGCCAGAATTTAGGTTTACATCCTACATTATTGGACTTTCCTAAACTTGATACAGTTCAATTAAAGTTGTTATTTTTGTGGAGAATGAAGTCTGACGCTTACCTAAGGACTCAGAAATCACGGTCAGAGTGAGACCAGTAAGGTTCTAGAATGGCTTTCAGAGATGAGAGGACATAGTGTAAAATTGATAAAATTTTCAAGATTGAATGCAGTCTTTGTATGAATTGAACTAATGCAGTTGATTGACCTACAGTGGGAAGCTACTACACTTAAAGACTCAGGGGGGTCCCTTTCAGGCTGGTCTTCAAAATGTCATGCAAAGTCATGGAGTCAATTTGGGATGCACAGAACAGAAACTACGTTATCATGGGAGAACAGGGGAGATCTGGGGCAGAAAGAAAGTGTGTGTAGTATTCTGGCAGCATAGCAGATGTGGTAGTTGAGATGAGGAAAGTATACTGAAGCAAAAGATGTAGAGAAGGTAGTAATTTTTTTCAGAAAAACTCTGAGATAGAAGAAAGAAGAGAGCTTTTAGTACAGTTGAAAAAGTTAAAATAAAAATCTAAGGCTAAAGAGGAAAAATTTTAGTTTCAAATGGTCTGTACATTTTAAAATGTGCAACTTCACTATGACATTTTAAGGAGAAAAATGTTAAGATATTGATGATTATTTTAAGGAAAAAAAAACAACTTCTCAAAGTATTGAGATTCAACATCGCCATATACATTTTTGTGCTTTTTTG